TTTTATATGCACACATCCAGATCTACTCAGATTCATCCTTATCTTTTATATGATTTGTCTTTATCTCCAAGGTTTGTTGGTCAACTCTTATCTTCAAGCTCTTGGTAGTTATCTTTTCCATAAAATCTGCAATTTAGATTCTCTCCAGTTATCTCCACAATAAATCTAACTATATGCAAAAAACAACCTTAACATTCTCCCTCTTTTTGACTTTCAACTCATTCACACCCAAAACAAATTGTTAGAATAATAATCTTTCCATGACATCAGATGTATTGCACTTGAGATATACTTCACTTGTCTGAAGCATTTGATCCATATCTCCCCCTGTGTGTATGAGATGAAATTCAAAAAAAAAAAACTCTAGGGTATATATCCAGACATTTACTACTCTGATTTTCCGATTCTCACTTCAATCAGTTTTGCAAACTCATTCACTCAATCACTCAGATTTGAACAGATTATATAAACATACATCATTTAAAATCATATGAAAAATATTTCACACACAATCAGATCACAATGTCTTGAATCAGTGTAACCATCAAAATAATATTCTGACCAGATTTATGAATATTTCTGTCAGATACATCTCACTAATCATGAAAGACTTCTCACATCAATTTCTCTTGTTCAGCACACGGAAAAATTTTGTAACTAACATTCTGGACTTCTAGGACGTTGAAATCAACAAGTAGTTCTTACCATTTAAGTCCAGACTATCTCTTTTGTTGGGTTTTCCTGGGATCTCTAGAGCGAATCCTATTCCTAAGAGATCGATTCTAGGGTTTGCGCAGCGGATATAAAACAAAAATTTGAATAAAACCCTAGAACCATGCATGCATGCTTACGTAGAAACGTTAGAACGCTTACCTCAATCGATCCGGGGCCTGTTTCAATTGATCCGTTCGTCCGATCACTCAAGGCAGGAAGTTACCTCACCCTCTACACGTATCCACACCTCGGGATGGATTCCAACGATTGGAACTTGTCTGCTACGATCCGAATCTGCTATTCGGTATATCGCTTCGAGAAAATGAGACTTAGAACTCCTTGAACTCTTTTGATCTCACCAAAAGCTCTCAAAGTTCTGCCAAAGACGGCTCAAAAAGTCTCTCTAATTAGGGTTTTAATCTCCTTCTTATAAGGTGATTTAACCCTAATTTCGGTCTAATTTTCGAAAACCCGAAACCCGGAACGGACGGTCCAGAAATGCACGTGGACCGTCTGTTCCAGCAAGCCAGAACGGACGGGCTGCCTTCTGTGGC